GTCTTTATTTTACAATTAAAATATATGTTTATCAAATAAAGTCTAATGTTACAACTGATCAGGGATACCTTTAAAGCTGTTTTTAATTTAGTCCAATCAGAGCCTGGTAATCACAATGATTGTTACTCTCTGATTTTGGATTTTCAGTTCTGTGAACAGCAACAACTGGTCCTCAGACTTGTTTGTGTCTGTCCCACACAGAGAGAGCCGGTACCGGACAACTACTGGTCTGTCGACCCAGAACACAAGCTGATCTACCGCTTCGTCAGAACGCTCTTCAGTGCCGCACAGCTCACAGCAGAGTGCGCCATCGTCACACTGGTGAGCAGATTTTTTTTTTATTAGTATTCGACCTGACTGCTGTTTATATTTACAAACATATAATTCTGTTTTTATCTTGTTGTTTAAAGATGGAATTAGCTCTACATTTATATTAAACCTTAGCACCAGGCTTCAGTGAAAGTAAAGCTGTGACACAGTTTTAGTTCCACAGTTTGGTCTGCAGAGGGCAGTAAGCTCTTTCAAGCTAGTCATTAACTCTCATAGACGGTGTGTGATCAAATAAAAGACCAATAGGTGGAGATTTTTATGGTTAAAAAAATGGATTATATATAAATTATTGTTGCCGGATTCCCCTTCTGAAGACACAGTGAAATAAACCCAATAAAAACTAATGTCCTGTTTTTATAAACCTTTTAAAATTAAATTTACCACATTTTAAAGTAGTTTTTGTTGTTTATAGTTAGCAGATTCTTGGTAGTATTAAGTTACATGACATTCTGACAGTGTTGAGACTGAATCTGAAAGAAAATAAGTTAAAACGTGGATATATTTCCTCCTGTGAGGTGTACTTGGAGCGCTTGTTGACCTACGCTGAGCTGGATATCTGCCCAGCCAACTGGAAGCGCATCGTCCTGGGAGCCATCCTGCTGGCCTCCAAGGTCTGGGACGACCAGGCGGTGTGGAACGTGGACTACTGTCAGATTCTTAAAGACATCACTGTAGAGGACATGTGAGTTGTGCATGATGGGACTGGACTGAATATGAATTTAAATTCACACTATACTTCCTGATAGGTTTCTTGGTCACTGCAGTAGGGCTGCCATGATCAGTCAACTCGTTTAGGATCCCCATTTCCATTTCRGTTTAATCTGTGTGTAAAACTGCAGATCTTTGATCATATTTTACTGACACAGTATGAAATGTTTTAGTGACYTTGAGCCTCAAAGCATGCAGAGCTTTTTCTTTTTTTATTCTAAAGGACAACACAGGTCTACTAAACAATCATTTAGTACTGAAGAAGACTTCACTGTTGTTGAAATCATGAAATAAGATAAAACTGTCCTGTTTTATTAGTTCTTGTTGATCCTATTCAAAGCTTTAGTTCTCAGAATAGGAGGGTTTCACGTGACGTCACGATGCAGCGCCACTAGAGCGCGAAGTTCTGATGGAGGTCAGGAAGTGAAAAAG